AGGGTCACCTTAGAGTTGCCATAAATTGGAAATGATTTGAAGGCACATGGTAATAACAAATAAGAAATCCATACTATATGTTTCAATCTTTCACATCTATGCTTGAGTGTAAATACTAGGGGTGTGCATGACTCAAAAGAACGGCTTCATTTGTCTTAAAGAAATACGCATGAGCCCTGTTTTGATTCTAAAGTTTTTTTAAAAAAAATCATAAGTTGTCCATGTCAGAAACTGTGGAAAATGTGGGCCTGCAAACACAGGAGTGGAAATTGGTCCAGAAAGAAAAGCCAAGAAGTAAGAGTCCCAGGTCCCTTCTACACTGTTCTACTATCCCAGGATCTGATCCCAGTTTGTCTGCTTATCCTCAATTATATGGCAATAGAGACTCATTTAATCCAATTCAAAGCAGATAACTGGGATTGGATCCTGGGATATACGGGCAGTGCAAAAGGGGCCCCAATGAAGCAGACTTAAGTCTATGGCTGGTTTGAAATGGTTTTAACAATTTGATTTTAAAGTGGATACAACTGATTGTGTAGATTTACTGTTTGTTTTATTCTGGCATTGAATGTTTGTTGTATATATGTTGTGGTCCACCCTGAGTCCCCTTCGGGGTGAGAAGGCCGTGTATAAATGCTTCAAATAAATAAATAAATAAATAAATAAATATGCAACTAGCTTCTTTCTCTCAGGCCTCATCTAAACAGCCATAAAAAACCAGATTATCTGCTTTGAACTGAATAATGTGAGTCTACGCTGCCATAGAATCCAGTTCAAATTAGGTAATATGGATTTTATATGGCAGTGTAGATGGGGCCTCACTTAGTCTCAAAAGTGCTACACAATTCCTTTGCATACCGATGTTGACTCACATAACTATGTCTTTGAATTGTACCATATGGGTACAATTCAGATACCTTTTCATTTTTGGTGGCTTTTGAGTCTGCTGTTTTAATCACTGCTTTATTACAGCCTATTGCTTACTTGTTTTAAGATATATTTGAGACCTGAAAAAAGAGAAAGAAATGTGTAGAACCCTAATGGTGAGGGCAAAACTGAGTCCTGACTGGTTCACATACAGTTCTCTGTACTCTGGGACCAGGGGTTCTCATCACTTTGATTTTCTCTCAGGAGTTGAAAAAGGTGTTTATTTTTCAATTTTTATTAGCACATCTTATTGAATGCTTGGGAATCCCTAAAACATTGATGTATGGATCCTCAGTCAGAAAAAATGAAAGACATATTGTCTGGTTTTCTCTTGCCAGGTAGATCCACCTTACTTAGGCAATCCCTTGTTGTTTGAGTAGGATAATCCTCCAGGGTGGATCCGTAGGTGACTATGGAGCCCTATTCTTGATCTGCATCGTCTCCTGCAGTGACGACATTGGTTTTTAGGTGGAAGGTGGTCCTGGTCGGGGTTGGCTTGACGTGCCTTCCTCTTGGCACGTTTCTCTCTTTTGCCCTCCATTCGTGACTCCTCAAATTCTGCAGCACTGCTGGTCACAGCTGACCTCCAACTGGAGCGCTCACAGGCCAGGGCTTCCCAGCTCTGAGTGTCTATGCCAGAGTTTTTAAGGTTGGCTTTGAGTCCATCTTTAAATCTCTTTTCCTGCCCGGCAACACTCTGGGGCCAGGGGTTCTCATCACTTTGATTTTCTCTCAGGAGTTGAAAAAGGTGTTTATTTTGTAAGCACATCTTATTGAATGCTTGTGAATACCTAAAACATTGATGTTTGGATCCTCAGTCAGAAAGAATGAAAGACATATTGACTGGTTTTCTCTTGCCAGGTAGAACCAACTAGTTCATAAGAGACAAAAAATTCTGTCTGCAGGGATACAATTACTAGGAAACCACTACCATAAGTGGTCAAAAGAATACTCATTAAAATCCAAAGTAAGAAATTCCCAGAAAGTTTAAGATGATGCCAATTATTCTGTGAAATAAGTGGTGAACCTGAAGTATGAGAACAAGCAGAAGAAGGAAAGTAAATAGAGAAATGCCTTCAATAATAATGAAGCTGTGGTATATTGTGTCAAAATATGCCTTAGACCAGTGGTTCTCAACCTGTGGATCCCCAGGTATTTCGGCCTACAACTCCCAGAAATTCCAGCCAGTTCATCAGCTGTTAGGTTTTCTGGGAATTGAAGGCCAAAACATCTGAGAACTCACAGGTTGGGAACCACTGCCTTAAAATCATAAAGTCATAGAATCATAGAGTTGGGAGATACCTTATGGGTGATCCAGTCTGACCCCCTGCCAAGAAGCAGGAAAATTGTCTATGGATGGATGGATGGATTTAAGAGATTTATTCTTACAAAGAGGAATCTCCTGTTAAACAAGCAGATTTTTCATTTAGTTTCATTTGCTTTGCCCATTGAAATTTATGTGGCATTTGCAATACATTAATTAATACAATATCAAAATGCCAGGATCCAGAAAAGGAACAGATAGATATCCAATGAGCTTGTAGAAAAGCCAGAGGAATTCATTTTTCCACCTTAAGTAACAGCCAAGAAATTATTTCTCTTTATGAATTTCATATACAAAAGCCAACTAGACTAGCAATTGAATATTACATTGATATTAGAGAGATGGCAAGTTAGTTTATTGCAATGCAAAACAGGTTTGTAAGGAATGTTAGAAGCTGTCCACTTGTGGCTTTTGCTTTACCTTGTCCTGGCTAGGTCAGCAAGGCATTTCAGATGAGCAGATCATGCATGATTGGACTAGCCCAGCAAGGACTGCCTGAGGAGTTTAAAGGTTCTATGGCTTGGATCATGTTCTTTTTGTTCCACTACACTGAAGTCACTCAGCCAACACGAATAGATGAAAATTGTACTATACACATGATTTCCATCCTTTATAACACGTTAGTGTTTACGATGTATAACTCATGCTTTGGATACCCTCTGTATATCCATTCCCATTTGTTTCATTATATACCAGATGGCATATTTATAGTATCAAGGTCTACTCAAGAATATTAGTGCCTATAGCTGCTACATGCTACTCACCATGACCTTTGAAAAAAAGGTACTCATAACAATATTTTTGAAGGAGAACCTCTGATTTACATTGGAGAATTAATCTATATGGTCTCATGAGTACAATGTGATTCATATAATAATTTTGCCCTGTGTTAATCTGGAGAAATCATTACTGAATACAAAAGTCTGATTCAGTCCTCATAGTCTGCTTAGTCCATGGTCTTTCCACTCAGGAGGAGGGAGAGGGACAAAAGCTTTCACTTACCATAACACCAATTGCAAATGGTGACTTATGTTTCAAATTAGTTGGCGTTTGTTATTTTTTCCCTCTTAGGTAGGGGTTAAAGAAAGCTGTTCATGAGAGGTCCAGCCACAGTATACAAGTCCCCTTGGAATTAGTTGGAAGAACTCCTGATGAGTTCACCCCTGTTTGTGCATTAACTTTGGGATGAAAGGTTGGCCACAGACATGTGAGACTCAAACCAAGTTTTCCAAAGTATGACACAATATGATGGAAGTGTATGCGTCTCAAAGAAAATGACTTTGTGAGCCCAGAAACATAATTAAAAACAAAAAAAGCTCTGAGATTCCATTTGACATTTTACAAAGAATTGTTGACTCCAGAGGCCAACACTTGCAAGAAGGAGCAGGTCAGGGAAGACATGAAACCAGCTGAGCTTGTGATGCACAGTAGACACTAGAAGTTAGTCTGAGGGCTAAGGATAGTCCCTGGCCATGTGCCTCCATTCATATCAGAATTTGTGTGTGTGCTCAAGTTGCCCCTTGATTTATGGTGATCACATTAATTCAGATAAGTTCTTGCAACTCCTTCCTCTGAAATATTGCCTCCAGTACTTGATATGCATTTGTGGTTTCCCATACAAGTACTAGCCAGGGCAGATCCTGATTATCTGGTAGTGTTTTTTTTTTTTACCTTTGCTGAATCTTGGCCAGTTTGGGGCTAGAATCCGTCGTGACTTACACAAACGTAGCAAAGCATTATGATAAAACAAAGCAGTGTGTGAGAGCTAGTGTGGTGTAGTTGTTTGATTAAGATTCCAAGAGACCAGAGTCTGAATCTCTATTCAGCTGTTGAAACTTGCTGGCTGACCTTGGGGAAGTCATACTTTCTCTCAACTAAGAGGAAGGCAATGACAAATCTCGTCTGAATATATATTTGCCAAGAAAACTCTAAGATAGCATTGCAATCAATCTGAGTGGAGTTGAAAAAAAAAACACAAGGTAGCAAATGCTGTTTTTGTAGCAGTGTGCAATGGGAACAGTAGGGCAGAAGATAAGATCACTTCCACAACATGAGAAAACTGGCCCTCCAGCTCCTGAACAGCTCAAAAGTTGGTAGAGCCGCTTTCTCTCTTCGAAGGCAATCCTGTTTCTGACTGCAGATTAATTGCATTGAACTAGATTATATAGCAGTGTAGATGGGGCCTAAAATGATGTCCCTTGCTGTTCACCATACCATGATCATGGTGCCTACTGCCAATTTGCTCTAGCTGATTGTTCTCATATTTTCTAACAAGGGTTTTTTGTGCACAATATCTATATAAATATTATAGATATGCTTTTTTAAAATGATATTTTTGGAGAAAATACATTTGAAAGATGTGTTTTGAAGAAAATGAGTTAAGTTCAATGTGCACCAGACCTTGGAAAGTTACCCACAGAACAGATTGATATAATGGTAAACTGAATCCATCTAAAACAGAGCAGAGTCTGAGAGCATTATCCTACTGAAGTTTGTGTTGCAACAGGAATTTCTTTCTTTCCTCCTTGCAACCTTTTGAATCACCCGAAAACCAGCTGCATGTTGTTTTCAAACATTTGTGTTCAAATGTTTGTGCAGATTGAAAACTTGGTATAGAATTGAGATGAATGGAGAAATACATTAACCAAGATTTATCCATCCTTTGTCACAACCTGTGTGAACTTGCAAGAAAATCTTAGCCAAGTAGAATTTGGATCCCTATTATACACAACTGAAAAATACACCAAAAATGAATCAAAATTATTTTAATATAGTGGCAGAAAATTCTTCTGAAGCATTTTACTGTAACTTACTAAATAATTTTAAATTTGAAAACTAAAGTGATGTGTAGATAAACCTGAAGCACAGACCAACTCACAGGCTGTCAGTCTTTAATCTACATATTGGAGTCAAAATATTTAGGAAATGTTTAGGAAAGCCTTCCTTTGCTTTCTTTTCTGTATTTTGTATCAGCAAATTTTAAAATGTAGGTTAACATTTCAACAGGTTTTTGTACTTTTTAAGCACAATACAATTTGTCAATCAACAAGGTATTTATTCCACTATTGAGAAAACTGTTTTTGACCTTTATAACAAGCGGTCTAGGCCGGGTCTGGAAAAAAATGCAATCCTTCCATTCCATGTGCTGATTTTCTTTTCATGAGGCAAGAGCTATGGGCAAGTGAACTAAAATAGCTGTTTGAAAATACTGTGCTCAAGTACATTCCCTACATGCATTTATTCGCATTTCTAAAAAAATAAAGATTTCAGCAGCAAAGCTATAGTACCTTGCAAAGAACTGGGATGTGATCATAGAGCCTTCAAATTGTGCTCGCTATATCTCTGAATTCACGGAGAGGAAATTCCCTTTCCTTTCTCTACCATAAGCTTTGACCTCCTTCTATGACTAAATTGTGGCCAGTCATATAATCTGAAGCTTCAGATGCCAAGTATACGACTGCTGCTTGCAAGTCTGTCACTTGAGCGAGGCTTCCAGCTGGAATATCTGTGAGCCAGCGCTGCACAAGAGGCTTCAGCTCCTCAGAATGGATGAGCGGTGTGTCTACAATCCCCCTGTTTTGAAAAAAGCACAACAGACACAAGACCTCTTGTTACAACTTCTTTTTTTCAAATGGGGTAAATACATAAATTAGAAAGAGCCTCTGGATACTAAACAGAATTGTAAAAAACACAAACAATGTAAAGATCCTTAGGTTCATATACCCTAACCTGCCTGGCAAACAAGCATCAGAATCTTCAATCATGATTCTCCTTAAATATTCTTTAATGCCACCTCTTACTGATCATTCTCACACTTCATTATTGCATCTTTCATGTATTTCCACATTAGTGATGCATTAGTTAGCATAATGCCCCAATTGAAATATTTGCCACAAAAACAATCGCATCACGTAAATTGGAAGTGACTTGCAACGAGTTATCTACAAATTGATGGGGGAGGTGGCACGGACATGCCAATTATTCTGTTTATTAACATGCGCAGCAGAAGAGATTATGCAATATGTTTGTACACAGCTGAGCAAATAGAAGCAGTTTAAATTCTGGTATTTCAAGAGAAGCTATAAACCTGAATTGTTCTTTACTGAATGTAAACTGAAAGTTCACATTAAACAGAATTGTTCTTTTCGAGAAACCATCATTTAGTCAAACCTTAATAGTATTTCCTGTTCATTTACAATAAAACATTCATTGGGAAATGTTTCCAATTGCCCCCCTCCCAAAATGAAAGGAAACCAGAAAATCCACCCACATCTGGTGAGTATTTAGTATATAACAATAACTGATTTGTTACCCTCCTCCTTAAGAACATATTTGTATTTTGTGAAATGTTATAATTTCTTTCCCCAGCCCCTGTATAAATATATTTACATAACTGTGCCTAACAAGAAATTACATTTAACTTCTCAGAAATGACAATAACGAAAACCTGAACTGCCAATTCCACTTCATTAGTGGGGTAGAAATGCATTCCAAATGTTAATAAAAATTCCAACATGCTGATAAATTAGCGCTTCTAAGGAGCATGTGACACCTTGGTTAACATATTCAACCTCAATTATATTTCTCTTCAGCACCCTGTTATCTGGAACCTTTGCTGGCAATCAGAGGTGCTGTTTTTCAGCGGCCAATTTTCTAGATAATGTAGCTTATCAACACTGTGGGTAAACTTGCCAATGAAATCAGGCTGCACTGAACCACACACGCGCTAATTGCATCTCTTTTTTATGCATATTTACAGACTGTCACTTCAAAGAAATCAGTGGCCCATTGAGGCACCCAGTTAGCTGGAAGAATTGCCTCTTGCAAATGAAAATTAGCAAACAAGCTAGTGATAAATATGAAATGAACAAAGTCTCCAAATGCCGTTTTGTTCTCAAACTTCGTCCCTCATCCCAATTTATACGTCCAAAGAAATAGCTTTTCAAAACACGCTGGATTCTGGGAATGAGATCTTCTCCCCCACTTCCCCATACTTTTGTTTTAAAAGGAGGCCTGTTTACCATATTATTTCATGGATTTGATGCAGCTTTGCCCTTCTTCTCATTGACATTTTTTTATTTCATTATTTTTGCTAACTGGGGGCAGTCTTTAAACATTGCAGCTGTCCTCAGTTTTGGTTGCTGCTTTTTGCCCCCAGATTGAAACTGACAAAATACAGCTTAGCTCTTCATAAATAATAGTACACAAGGGCAACTTGAATGACCTCAGGCACTAGCCTACATATCAAAGTAATATTATAATCACAATATTATTTCCCCTAACCAGTTGTTCCTACCCCTTGTGTGTAATGCTTGCTTGCTAGGGAAAAAAGCAATTTCCAAACATCAACAGGCTTTGCTAACTACATCTCATTTTAAACATATCAGACACACACATTGCAAAATGATACTGTCCTGACAACAATATTACTATACTTACTACTACTATGTGGAGTAGAAATGTCTCTTCTTACTTAGTTTATTTGCAATGAGCATTTCTCAGCCACCAAAGTGCCAAGCCAGCTTTTCAAGCATTTAACTGAGGACCTCCGCTTCTGTTTAAGGAGGCATTAGCAAGGAACTCTGTGTTCCTTGTGATTGTAGTTCATTTTGCTGGAACTAGCAAGCACTCCTTTTACACCTGGAAAACCATCTGTCTTTGGTATCCAACTCAATAGCATCTATACTTTTATAGAGAAATATTCAATAACTGACCATGCAAAACAGAGAGATAGAAAGAACAACTTTGCTTTACCTTTTCACTAATCAAAATGCCATTTCAATAAATGATCTTATTTCCAGTATGAGAGTATCTGTCATAGGCCCCTTCTACACTGTCATATAATCTAGATTATCCAATCAGATAATCCACATTATCAATTTTGAACTGGATTATATGAGTCTACACTACCAGATAATCCAATTCAAAGCAGATAATCTGGATTCTATGAAGCTGTGTAAAAGGAGCTTTAGGCCCCTTCTACACTGCCATATAAAATCCAGATTATCTGCTTTGAATTGGCAGTGTAGACTCATATAACCCTGTAGATAATGTGGATTATCTGCTTTGATCATCTATATTATATCTCAGTTAGAAGAGGAGATGGTCAGATGTGCAACGTGATCTTTTGGAACCCTAGAGCAAAACTTTCCAAACTGTTTGTCATAACACATTAGCATGTTGGATGCAATGTGTAGGTGTGTCATTTGACGGTAAAGAGAAACTTTAAAATCTGTATGAAATAAGCATATTTTTTTAAAAATATATAAATGATAGGTTTTCATGAGATATATTGTGTCCCTGTACAATTAATATATCTGTTTGTACCTCTTATAAGGGGTTGGTTTAATGCCTGGTTTGCTAGTAACACCAAATTACTATGTTGCAAAATGATGCATGTCTAAAAACTGTGTCACTAACATGAAATGTTTGGAATGCTCTGCCTTAGAGACTAACTGAGAGAACTAAATTGATAGCATGAACTTTTGTAGATGGAGGATGCTTCTGAACTGCAGATCCCACTTCAACTGTCATGGCTTAATGCTATGGAATAATGGGAGTTGTTGTTTTTCAAGCTCTTTAGCCATCTCTTCCAAAGAATGCTGGTGCCTCATCAAACTACAAATTCCAGGTTGCCACAAAATTTAGTTATGGCAATTAAAGTGGTGTCTTTCATTGATTCTACAGAGTAGAGTCAGGATGAGCCTACTTCCTCAGATGAGATGCATCTGAGGAAGTAGACTAAGTCTACAAAAGCTTATGCTACCATCTTTGTTTGTTCAGGCCCCTTTTACACTGCCATGTAATCTAGATTATCTGCTTTGAACTAGATTATCCACCAATGTTGACTCAGGGCCCTTCCACACAGCCTTATATCCCAGAATATTAAGACAGAAAATCCCAACATTTCTGATTTGAACTGGGTTATTTGAGTCGACACTCAGATAATGTGGGATTTCCTGTGTTGATATTCTGGGATATAGGGCTGTGTGGAAGGATCCTCAGATATCCAGTTCAAAGCAGATAATGTGGTATATGCTTTGATAATCTGGATTATATGGCAGTGTAGAAGGGCCTAAAGTACTAAAAGATACTTTTTCCTACTGATATTCCAGGCTAACATGGTGGCATCTTTAAATTTCACTCTGATACAGTCGTCCATCTCAATCCTTTCTCTAATAATAATAATAACAATTATTATTATTATTATTATTATTATTATTATTATTATTTCTTACCTGCTTCTCCTTGTCGCTCAAGACAGGTTACAAAATAATTAAAACACATAAACCTTGGAGAATACCACAGATGCACATATTAAATATATTTCTATAAAATACATATTAAACATATTTCTAAAATATGTATTAAATTACACAAAACAGATATCATTTATTAATTGCATTTATATACCGCTTTTCTCACCCATGAGGGGACTCAAAGTGGTTTCCAACATAAAAGATTAAACAGAGGACACACATTTAAAATTCATGTTTAAAACCTGCCTGGGTAGGTCTGCCAGAAGATATGGATTTAAATTCCAACAGTTCATTTAGCTGTCAAAGGTCTTGACAGGTATTTTTAAGATGGCTGATGAAAAGGCAAGATGGAGTAACCATCCCCAAAGGACCTAAGTAATAGTGGCGAATTGTACAGGAAGCAATCCTTTAGGTAACCTGGATCCAAATCATGTAGGGATTTAAAGGTTAAAACCAACACCTTGTACTTTGCCCAGAAACTAATTGGTGGCCAGTGGAGTGACTTTAGGATAGGTATAATATGCTCACTCCTAGATATTGCTGTAACCAGTCTGGCTGCCATGTTTTGAACCAACTGGAGTTTCTGAACTTGGCACAAGTACTTGGTTTTATATTATATATTAATGTTTTTAATTGTATTTATGATATTGTGTGCATCGAATTGTTGCCCTGTAAAACTGCCTTGAGTTACCTGTGGGCTGAGAAAGGCGGTATACAAATACAGTAAATAAATAAAATAAAAAATAAATACAAAGTTATCCCAATATAAACCGCATTGTAGAAGTCCAACTTTGAGATTACCAGTGTTTGTACTACCATCTGCAGGTCCTCCAAATCTAGGAAAGGGCACAGCTGGCATATCAGTTGAAGCTGATAGTAAACACTCCTGACTGTTGCATCAACCTGGGCTGACGTTTGGAGAGACTGATCCAGGAGCACCCCCAAGCTATGAACACCATCTTTCAGGGGGAGTGTAACCCCATCCAGAACTGGTTGAAACAACATCTCCATCCCCAGATTAGGACCCTTGATGGCAAGCACCTCTGTTTCATCTGGATTCAGTTTCAATTTGTTTTTCCTCATCCAGCCCGTTACCTCCTCCAGGTATTCATTTGAAGGAGATACACTATCCTTAGTTGAAGCTGTTTTTGAAAGCATGGAGAAAAATATTTGGGTTTCATCAGCATACTGATAACTAGGCCTGGGTAACAACGCAAAAATTTGTTTCTAAAATCAATTTGTAATTGGGGTGTTTTTTTGTTTCGATATTTAAAATAATTACAAAATTTTCCCTTAAAAAAGTTCGGTATTTAC